TCTGGTCCTCAGGCACCCTGGGTGCCCGAGACCAGCTCCCACAGGGCCGCCTCACGCCAGCCGCTGCCCCCGCTCTGCCCGCGCTTCGCGGCCAGCTTTGCGGGGCTGGGGAGCTATTGCACTGTGTCTCTCAGGGAAGACGCTGGGGAAGGCGGGGGCCCCGGCGCCCCCGGCCCAGCCCTGCCGTCCGTCCCCAGCCCTCTCCTCATGGCTCTCTCTCTCAATGTGCTTCAGAGGCGCCCGCCTCCCATCCCCACCCCCAGCCTCAGAATCCCAGGCAGCTTTGCGGCCCGAAGCCCGGCCAGCCCCACGCCTCGGGGTACAGCTCACAGCAGGCCAGTGAGAATGCACGGTGTGCGGGCGCGCGGGGCTGGGCCGGGCACTCTGTCCCACGTGCCCCTGGCCACGGGAACAGCCCAGAGACAGAGACCCTTTACAGAGCCGCCGCGCACCCTCCCCTGAAACACAAACCCACCGTCAGGCCGACTTTGGGGTTTCAGTCTGCTGTAAGGGTTTCTGCTGTTTGGTAGTTTTTTGGTTATTTCCCTCTGTCTGGGGGACGGGGTGGGGGGGGCTCCACATGCAGGGCTCGGCACCTGTCCTGTCCCAAAGGCCCGGCGGCCCCCAGCCCCCTGCAGCATATGTGTACAACGTGCAAAGTGTCCCCCCTTCCCGCAAAAAAGAGCTCCCCCAGCCAGTGAAAATGGCGGGGTGCAGAAAGGGGATGAGAGCATCCCCCCTCCAAAGCGAGAATCCAAATTAAAAAAAATATAATATTAATAATAATATAATAATAATTATACACAAATGTAACCGTCAATAGGACACGGAGCACAAGGGGGCGGGGCCGAGCGGGAGGAGCCCAGGGCGGGGGTGGGCGGCGAGATTGTCAACTCTTCGTCGGGGAGGCTGAGAGGAGGGGGGGCCGTCACTTCAATGTCTGTGAAGAGAGGAGATGGAAAAGGGGTGTGAGGGCAGGTCCAGGCTGCGGGGTGCGTGCCCACTCCCCTCTCCTGGCAGGGCCGGGCCCCCGGAGGGAGGGCCAGCTCGGAGAGGGTGCGTCATCGAGCAGAAGGGCTGAGGGGAGGGCTGGCCGGCCACGCGGCCCGGCAGGTGCGAGGACGTGGAAGGGGGGGGCGGGGTGGGCGGGCAGGAGGCAGC